CGAGGGGAAGAGGTAGGGCGGGGAGGGGGGAGGTAGGGCGCAATGGGGGAAGGTGTGGACTCTTCTCGCTACAGCCGTATGCATGCACGCACACGCACCGGTGATGACAACGTCTGTGAGGTTGTGGCAGTGCAGCAGACTGCTGTAGCGCGGCCCGGGCATCTCCCTGCCGCGCCCATACGATGGCAGCGCTGGTATCACCGGCCATAGTGCTGGGTCCTGTATACATAAGGGCATGCAGGCATGCAGCCACGCACACATGCGCACATGCAGGCGCAGGCATGCAGGCATGGAGGGAAGGGTGATGGGAGGGTTACAAAGAGGCATGGAGCAGGGACGGGCACCACATTGCTACCTGCCACACCGCCCACGAAACCAGCCAACAACCGCCCCTTGCGCCTTCTCCGCGCACTGCAAGCCTCCCCACATGCAGCGCAAGCTACTCTCACCCTTCCCGGCCCCCAGTTCCCTCTGCGCGCGCGCGTACCGGGTTGCCGCGGATGGTGGCGCCGCGCGCGAGGAAGAGCGTCATGGCGGAGGTGAGGTTCACGCTGCCCGTCACGTACACGCCGGGCGGCACGTACAGCTGCCCGCCGCCCTTGTCCGCCACGCCGCTCACGGCGTACACGGCGTTCTGCAGCGCGCGCGTGTTGTCCGTCGCGCCGTCGCCCACGCCGCCAAAGTCCGCCAGGTCGAACACGTGCGGCCGATTCGGCCACTGCGGCCTGCCGCCGCTGCTAACGCCGCTCCTGCCGCTGCTGCTAACGTCGCTCTTGCCGCCGTTGCTAATGCCACTCTTACCGCTACCGCGGGGATCGCTCCTGCTGGAGTCACTGTGAAATACGCTGCTGGTATCGACCAATGCACTCGCGTCAGACGCGCGTTCTGCGGCATTCGAAGCTTTCGTCGCAACGCTGCGCAGCGGCAACGAGAGCGCGGCGAGATCGCGATCCGGGTCGAGCAGTTGCTTCCTCTGCCAGCCGCCGCTGCGCGCACTACGCGCCTCTAAGTCGCCCGCATCGGCTGTCAGTGTCTTTAAATCGGCGCCTGCGGCCGCGTGAACGCTGAGAGGATTAAGGGTTAATGCGATCAGAAATGCTACACGCGCCACGGAGGTTAGAGTCAGTCGATTTCGGGAGACAGGTGGACGCGACGCCATCAGCACACAAGGCGGGATAATAACGAAGATCAGACTCGAGCCGCACAGAATACTAATCGTCCACGTGTCTCAACGCCACGTCATTCAGGCTACGTGAGCAAACAGCGAAGAGCATGTCGACAGCCCGCAGCGTGCAGTGCGGCACGGAAAACAAAAATCAATGGCAGGTCGATAAACGCACTCTCTTCTACGATATATGTACTGCGTCGATTGAAGAGAGGTGCCGAGGGACTAAAGCGCTCATTTCCGCAAACAGCTCAACTCAAGATAATAACCCCATGATCTGGGAGGCAGGGCATACAAGCGGCGAGGCAAGGGGGAAGGGCAACGGAGCAGGTGACAGGCGGGCAAGGGCCTTATGGTGGTGGTGAACAACCAGACGCACGTGGTCGGAGGGAGCAGCCCAGCCGACTAGGCGAACGGGGCGAAACGGAAAACGCCTGTAACGAAGCTAGGTGCCAAGGTGGCTAGTTCCGCTAAGTGCGGGCATTAAAAATTTTCACTATAAGGACACCATACTACAAAATTTTCAACAATCATAAGACATCCAAACAGATTAACTGGTACCACTCAATGGACAATATTTAAGACTAGTACTAAAAGATCAAGGGTCATTGAACCAGTATTGCCTTTCTAAATTCATGTCATGCCAAAGGTTTTTTGTTAATAAGTCGTTTGACAAACATTTCCATGACCAACGAGGAATGCTGCCATGCTTTCAAACATGAGTACATCGCACACAGAACATTGCTTGACCTATTTTAGGGAGTTTCAACGGCACTCGCATCGCCCAAAATGCCCAACACACCCAACCCTGCAAGCAATGCTCTCAACATACCCACCCAGTGATTTCAAACCTCTCCCAAGCCTCATTTGCCAAAAGCACAAGCACCACCGCATAACAACCCAACACACTACCTCCCCCAACAACCCACCACCCATCCACCAATCTGGCCACAACCACCCACCAATTTGTCAACCCACAAATCATCACCCATCCCCAACAAAACAACACCCACCCACACCAAAACCCCACCCCTAAAACGCGGAAGGATTCACACATGTGCATGAAGTGCAGCGGGCGTTCTTCATTCGCGAGTGCCGATGACCGATGATGCTCGCAACCCTCCCACGCCCTTGCTGGCTTGGTAATAGGCCCAGACAAGCGCAGCCACGTGACCCGGCGGAAGAAAAACGCTCGAAACGAGCGCTTCCACCCCCCAAAACGCGGAAGGATCCGCACATGTGCATAAAAATGCATCGGGTGCTCTTCATTCGCGAGCGCAAATGGCCGATGATGCTCGCAACCCTCCCACGCCCTTGTGGGCTTGGTAATAGGCCCAGACAAGCGCAGCCACGTGACGCGGCGGAAGAGAAACGCTCGGAACGAGCGCTTTTACCCCCAAAAAGTGGAAGGATCCGCACATGTGCAGGAAGTGTAGCGAGTGCACTTCATTCGCGAGCGCCGATGACCGACGATGCTCGTCTCAACCCTCCCACGCCATTGCTGGCTTGGTAATAGGCCCAGAGAAGCGCAGCCACGTGACCAGGCGGAAGAAAAACGCTCGACGAGCGCTTCCACCCCCAAAACGCGGAAGGATCCACACATGTGCAGGAAGTGCAGCGGGCACTCTTCATTCGCGAGCGCCGATGAGCGATGACGCTTGCAACTCTCCCACGCTCTTGCTGGCTTGGTAATAGGCCCAGACAAGCACAACCACGTGACCCGGCGGAAGAAAAACGCTCGGAACAAGTGCTTCCACCCCCAAAACGCGGAAGGAACCGCACATGTGCAGGAACTGCAGCGGCCGCTCTTCATTCGCGAGCGCCGATGAGCGATGGCGCTCGCAACCCTCCCACGCTCTTGCTGGCTTGGTAATAGGCCCAGAAAAGCGCAGCCACGTGACTCGGCAGAAGAAAAACGCTCGGAACGAACGCTTCCATCCCCAAAACGCGGAAGGATCCGCACTGTGCAGAAAGTGCAGCGGGCGCTCATCATTCGCGAGCGCCGATGAGCGATGATGCTCGCAACCCTCCCACGCTCTTGCCGGCTTGGTAATAGGCCCAGACAAGCGCAGCCACGTGACTCGGCGGAAGAATAACGCTCGGAACGAGCGCTTCCACCCCCAAAACGCGGAAGGATCCGCACATGTGCAGGAACTGCAGCGGGCGCTCTTCATTCGCGAGCGTCGATGAGCGATGGCGCTCGCAACCCTCCCACGCCCTTGCTGGCTTGGTAAAAGGCCCAGAAAAGTGCAGCCACATGACCCGGCGGAAGAAAAACACTCGGAACGAGCGCTTCCACCCCAAAAATGCGGAAGGATCCGCACATGAGCAGGAAGTGCAGCGGGCGCTCTTAATTCGCGTGCGCCGATGAGCGACGATGCTCGCAACCCTCCCACGCCCTTGCTGGCTTGGTCATAGGCCCAGACAAGCGCAGCCGCGTGACCCGGCGAAAGGAGCGCTTCCACCCCCAAAACGCGGAAGGATCCGCACATGTGCAGAATGTGCAGCGGACGCTCTTCATTCGCGAGCGCCGATGAGCGACGATGCTCGCAACCCTCCCATGCCCTTGCTGGCTTGGTAATAGGCCCAGACAAGCGTAGCCGCATGACCCGGTGGAAGAAAAACGCTCGGAACGAGCGCTTCCACCCCCAAAACGCGTAAGGATCCGCACATGTGCAGGAAGTGCAGCGAGTGCTCTTTATTCGCGAGCGCCGATGAGCGATGATGCTCGCAACACTCCCACGCCCTTGCTGGCTTGGTAAGAGGGCAGACAAGTGCAGCCACGTGAATTTACGGAAGAATAGCGCTCAGAACGAGCGCTTCCAACCCCAAAACCCTGAAGGATCCGCACATGTGTAGTAAGTGCAGCGAGAGCTCTTCATTCGCGAGCACCGACGAGGGATGATGCTCGCAACCCTCCCACGCCCTTGCTGGCTTGGTAATAGGCCCAGAAAAGCGCAGCCACATGACTCTGCGGAAGAAAAACGCTCGGAACGAGCGCTTCCAACCCCAAAACGCGGAAGGATCCGCACATGTGCAGGAAGTGCAGCCGGCGCTCTTCATTTGCGAGCAACGACAAGGGATGATGCTCGCAACCCTCCCACGCCCTTGCTGGCTTGGTAATAGGCCCAGAGAAGCGCAGCCGCATGACCCGGCGGAAGAAAAACGCTCGGAACGAGCGCTTCCACCCCCAAAACGCAGAAGGATCCGCACATGTGCTGGAAGTGCAGCCGGCGCTCTTCATTCGCGAGCGCTGATGACCGATGATGCTCGCAACCCTCCCACGCCCTTGCTGGCTTGGTAATAGGCCCAAACAACCGCAGCCGCGTGACCCGGCGGAAGAAAAACGCTCGGAACAAGCGCTTCCACCCCCAAAATACGGAAGGATCTGCACATGGGCAGGATGTGCAGCCGGCGCTCTTCATTCGCGAGCGCCGATGAGCGATGGCGCTCGCAACCCTCCCACGCCCTTGCTGGCTTGGTAATAGGCCCAGACAAGCGCAGCCGCGTGACCCGGCGGAAGAATAACGCTCGTAACGAGCGCTTCCACCCCCAAAACGCGTAAGGATCCGCACACGTGCAGAAAGTGCAGCGGGCGCTCTTCATACGCGAGCACCGATGAGCGACGACACTCGCAACCCTCCCACGCCCTTGCTGGTGGTAATAGGCCCAAACAAGCGCAGCCACATGACCCGGTGGAAGAAAAACTCTCGGAACGAGCGCTTCCACCCCCAAAACGAGTAAGGATCCGAACATGTGCAGAAAGTTCAGCGGGCGCTCTTCATACGCGAGCACCGATGAGCGACGATGCTCGCAACCCTCCCACGCTAGGGAGATGAATGAAGGGAACAGCGAAGCACATGATTTGTTGCAGTCGGCGCTCACATCCATTTCTGCATCCGTGCATCTTTGCAAGAACCCGCTGCTGATTTCACCCCTCCTCTGCAGTGCAGCCCATCCGCTCCACACTCCTCACTGTTTCCCCTCCCTCCCCTCCGCCCTCTCCGCCCTCCCTCCCCACCCACGCACACACACACGGCAGGTGGTGGCGAATCTGGTGAGCAACGCAGCCAAGTTTTCCAAGCGCGGAACCATCACCGTCTCCTGGCGCATTGTGCCCGACCCCTCTGTGTCAGACCCCTCGGCATCCGACCCTTCTGCCTCTGGTTACAATGATGGTGACAGTGCGGAGCAGGAATGCACAGAGAGTGGGGAGGTGGAAGCAGAGACAGGGGGAGAGGGGCAGACGGGGGAGGAGGGAGAGAAGGGGGAGGAGGGGGAGGGGCAGGAGGGGACTCAGGAGTTGGGGCGGGAGGGGGGAGGCAGGAGCCCAATGGAGTCGGGCAGTCGCTCGATACAGTCACACTCACACTCGCTTGCTGCCTCACTGTCTGCCCCCGCGGGCGATAGCACCGCTGCTGCAGAGACTGTGGAGGCAGCAGAGGCAGCGGACGCAGCAGGGGCAGTAGAGGCTGGGGGGGCAGCGGGGGCAGCAGGCACGCTGACCTCCCCTGGCAGCACCAGTGGGGTCGAGGGGAAAGGGGCGGACGGGGGGAGATGGGGGGAGAGCAAGCGGGGGCGGATGTGGGGGAGGGGGAAGAGAGGGCGGGGGGAGAGCAGGGAGGGGTCTAGCGAGGGAGCCAGGCAGGGTCGGGGCAAGCAGGCAGCGAGTGGAGGGTGGGGGGGGGCAGGCGGGCAGGGAGTGCGAGTGCCGCGAAGCGTGTCTGCAGGGCAGGAAGGAAACGTCTCCTCTGGCCCCTCGGCACCCTCAGCGCAGCATCAAGGCACATCCTCAGGTGGCTTCCCCTCCAGTCCCGTGCGCAGCAGCAGCGGGCATGCGGGACCAGCAGCAGCAGCAGCAGCAGCAGCAGCAGGGCAGGGCGAGCAGCCGCGGCTGCTGGCAAGGCGGCTGTCAGCAGATCTGACTCACCGCACGCGGGTCACCCGCCTGCACGGCACCTCTGGGGGGTCCGGCTCCGCTGACCTCTCCCGCATGCTGCAACCCGCCGCGCCCTGCCCTTCTCTGCACTCCGCGCCCTCCCTCCCACCGAACCTCGCCTCCCTCCCCCCACACCTCGCTTCCATGCCCTCGCCCTACCTGGCCAGCTTCGAGTCGGCGTCAGCAGCAGGCAGTGTCCTGCCAAGAGGGCCTGCTGCTGCTGCTGCTGCTGCCTGTGGGGGTGCTACAGGTGGGCCGCTGGGCTTAGAAAATGTTGCTGGCAGTGTGGCTGGAGTGCGGCTGCCAGCTGGTCAGGAGACGCACGGGCCTGCAGGCTCGGCAATGGATGCAGGCTTGGGGATGGGTGCAGGGTCGGCGCCGAGCCTGAGTAGGGGCGGAAGCTTGGGGCAGAGTGTGAGAAGTGCGAGTTGGGGCAGTGGGAGCGGGGCAGGGGGGCGGATGGAGTGGATGGGTGAGTGTGATGGGGGGGCAGTGAGCACACGAGAAGGGGGAGGGGGAGGCATGGGGGGAGGCATGGGGGGAGAGGGAGCAGGAGTGGGAGAGGGAGCAGGAGTGGGAGAGGGAGACGGTGCAGGAGTGTTTGAATCAGCTGCTGACGTGGCAATGCTGCTGGGTGAACCTTTCATGCCAGTTTCCGGGCCCCTCAGACCCTCCGGTGGCAGCAGCGTGTCTGCTGACGAGGCGGGTGTTGTCGTGCTAGATGGCGGGCCAGGATCTGACGTGGCAGCTGACGTGGAGATGCTGTGTGGGGATATACTCCCTGCACCTGCTACAGCTACAGTCACCACTCCTGCTACAGCCGCCGCTGCTACAGCAGCAACACCTACCCCCACCACCTACCTCACTTCCAGCAACCCTGCAATCCCTCCCACACCCACTCCCCCCTCCCCGTCCCTCCCCTCTCTCCGCCCGCCAGCCAGCCCACGGCTGCGCGTGGTGTGGCAGGGGGGGCGGGCGGCGGGGGAGGAGGACGTGGGGAGGGTGAGTGTGCGGGCGAGCTCAGAGGCACAGCAGTGGCTGCGCTCGCTGCAGCAGCCCGTGGGCCGCCTGCACGGCTTTGAGGACGTGACTGTAACGGACAGTGTTGTACAGGACGGGTCTGTGCTTGTAGGCACGGGCGTGTGTGAGGGGCTGGGGGGGAGGGTGGGGGACGCTGGGTTGCTACGCGGGGGGTCGGGGGACGTGATTGTGCGGCGAGGGGGTGGGGCGCGAGGGGAGGGGGGCGGGGGGATGGTGAGAAGGAGCAGTACGGGGCGGGCAGGGGCGGTGGAGGTGGTGGGGCGGATGGGGAGGAGCGTGCAGCAGCGGGAGCGGGCGCTTAGGAGGCATGCTTCCGCTGGTGTGGCGGAGCAGGGGAGGCGGGGGAAGGGCGAGGAAGGTGGGAGCGTTGCCTGGGGTGGTGGGAATGAGAGGGCAAAGCTGCAGAGTGAAGGTCAGGGAGGGGGTGATTCAGGCAGGAGGGAGCGTGGGGAAGGGGATTCTGCTCGGGGAGGTCACAGTGGGGGTGCTAGTAGCGGGGGTGCAGAGACAGTTGTGACTATAGGCGAGGTGGTGGCTGCGGTGGGTGATGGGGGGTGTTCCGGCAGTGCAAGGGGAGACACTGGGGGCAGCACAGGGGGGAAGGAGGGCGGTGAGAGGGGGAGAGGAGGGGCGGAGGTGGAGGACGGGAGCGAAGAGGACGGGGAGAGTGGGGGAGAGGGGGAGGAGATGGAGGAGGAAGAGGATAAAGACAGGGAGGAGGAGCAGGGGGTAGTAGCCAAGGAGGGAGAGGAGGAGGGGAAGGAAGGAGAGGGGGAGGAGAAGGGGGAGGTGGGCAAGGAGCGGGAGCGGGTGTGGTACGAGGTGTGTGTGGCAGACGAGGGGGAGGGCATGGCGGAGGAGGAGGTGCAGCAGGTGCTCTTCATGGCTCAGGCCGGCGCTCAGAGAGGGTGAGTGGGGGAGTCGGCCAATAGGGAAGGGGAAGCGGCCAGGGCGGAGCGTGGCTGGGGAATGCGTGGAGTGTGGAGATGGGTTGGGGGCAGCGCTTGAGCTTCTCACAGTTGTCCATGACCCTCTCCCCTTGTGCCCCCCCCCCATCTGCTCTGCAATCTCCCACCTTTCCCCTTTTGCCTCCTCGTTCTCCCCCCTCACTCCCCGTGTGCACAGTGGTGTGGGCGGCACAGGCCTAGGGCTGGCCATCAGCCACGGGCTGCTGGCGCTGATGGGCGGGCGCCTCTGGATCAAATCCCAGCCGTCCAAAGGCACCCAGGCCTTCGCCCTCATCCCCCTCCTCCCCGCGTCCGCCCCCTTCCCCCCATCCGCCAAGGGCGGCCCGCCTGCCTCCCCCCTGGGGGCAGGCCGGCGCTCCCCCTCGCCTTGCCTGGCCGGGGGCCAGGCGGGGAAGGAGGGTGAGGAGGGGGATAGGCAAGCGGTATCAGCGAAAATGGAGGTGGAGGGGGCCGAGGGGGGTGGAAGAGAGGGGAAACGGGAAGAGAAAAGGGAGGTGGAGGGGCAGGGTGACGAGGAGGAGGAGGAAGAGGAGGAGGAGGAGGAGGAGTGCAAGAGTCTGCGTGTGCTGGTAGCGGAGGACAACAAGGTGAACCAGCTGCTCATCCGCCGCCTGCTCAAGCACTACGGCCACGATGTCTCCGTGGTGGGCAATGGGCGCCTGGCTGTGGACGCCGTGCAGAAGGAATGCTTTGACCTCGTGCTCATGGACCTGCAGATGCCCGTGCTGGTGAGTCAGCCATGCCGTGCTGGTGTGTACCCTGCTTGATCGTGGATCTTCTCCTTCTCGCCCTACTTCTCGCGTTCTTACTTTTGCCATCCGCCCCTAGCACTATTTTTCCTCTTTTTTCTGCCTCGACCATCTTTCTGAAGCCTCCCCGCTTCTTTTCCCGCCTGCCTTTCCCAGGACGGGCTTAGTGCGACGCGTGAGATCAGGAAGCTGCCAGGAAAGGAGGCGCGCATCCCGGTGTACGCGCTGACAGCGGACGTGTTGGCGCCGGAGATAGAGGCGGCGGGGATGGACGGCTTCCTCAGCAAGCCCATCGCCTGGGACAAGATGAGCCTGGTCGTAAGCTCGCTGTTGCACGCTAAAAACGCCAAGCTCAAGCAGCAGAAGCAGGCTGCTCCTGCTGCTGCTGCTGCTGCCTCCGCTGCTGCAGGCTCTGCTGCTACTGCAGGAGCGGTGGTTGGTGGAGTGGTTGGTTCGGGTGGCAAGGCTGGGAAAGCAGAGGAGCAGGCAGAGGGCAGGGAGGGAGAAGAGGCAGGAGGCAGAGCAGGAGGCAAGGGGGTGGAGGTGGGGAAACGGGCGTCTGGGGGGGGGGCAGTGAGTGGCGCAGGTGCGGCTGCAGCAGCAGGAGGAGGTGCGGCGGGTGCAGAAGGGGGAGGGGGCGGCAAGTTGCGGGTGCTGGTGGCGGAGGACAACAGGGTGAACCAGATGCTCATCCGCAAGATGCTGCAGCACTACGGGCACGAGGTGAGCCAGGCACGAAATAAGCTTGAGGGGTGCAGTGCAGCGCAAGCACGAGGGCTGCTGGATGGCTTGCGTTTTTTGGGAACCACTGTCGGGAGACCTGAGACCTTTAAGGGGAGGCCAATCGATGTGGCTCCAGTACTGCAGAGCTTTCTAGGGTCGACTTGCATCATTTCATTTGCTGGTGTTACTGTTTTGCCACATTGCAACGGCACTCTCCCTGGCATGGCATGGCATGGCATGGCATGGCATGGCATGGCACGGCATGGCATGGCATGGCATGGCAGGTGACACTGGTGCTCAACGGACGGCTGGCAGTGGAGGCAGTGCAAGCAAAGCCATTCGACCTTGTTCTCATGGATATTCAGATGCCCATTATGGTGAGCTATGAGCATGTAGGATCACATGATGGTGAGTGGTTTCACACACGCCACATGCGTTAGCCCAATGTGTCATGCATGGTACATGTGCATTGCTGGGCACATCACTCATCTGCCAGCCTCCTCGCTCCTCTCCCATGCCCCCTCACCCCACTATGCAGGACGGCTTGACAGCCACGCGTGAGATCAGGAAGCTGCCAGGAAGGGAGGCGCGCATCCCAGTGTACGCGTTGACGGCGGACGTGTTGGCGCCGGAGATAGAGGCGGCGGGGATGGACGGCTTCCTCAGCAAGCCCATCGCCTGGGACAAGATGAGCCTGGTCGTGGAAACTCTGCTGCGAGCCAAGGCGGGCCAGTCCTGATTCTGCACGGATGTTAGGGTGAATGGCATTATTTTTGCGGCTTACGGATCATGTAAATAACGCTTTGTTTAGTACACGCTGTGTCAGTTGCTCCGATTTTCGTCATCTGTATATATTATGTAGTGGCAAACGTTTTCTGGATCCTATTCAATCGTGTGTTGCTGAATTGTTATGCACAGATTGCACTATCGAGGCACCAGTATCGCAATAAATCCTTGAAAGCGACCAGCCTTCAAGATCGAGCTCCAGCCGCCTTTTGCACCCAATTGGCAGAAAGTAAACACGCGATTTGACAGTTTGTAGGATCCCCGAAGCAAGACTCGGGAGGGCGGTCGGCGGAATGGCCGCGTGGGGCGGCGCGTTCCGCGCAACGCGCGCGGCGTGGAAGAAGCGGAAGGGGCCGATGCTGATGCCGGGGCTGCTGGAGGCGCAGCAGCTCGCCGTGGCTCGGCAACCCGAACGTGTGCTTCGGAATCGAGGCTTGGTGGAGATCGGACAGGTCTGCCTGCCGAACTCGCTACAGCAGTCGATTAAATCCATAATCGCGGAAGGTAGTTACAGCCCAGGTCGCGACGCGCATTCTCGCTTCATGACGTCACGATCCGGCGTCTCCCGCTGCTCTCTTCCCAGAAAGCATCCTCCTTTCCGCCTTCCCTTCCCCCAACGCCTTCCGCAGTCAATCCAGCCCCGCCCCCTGTTCTCCCGTCTCCCTGCAACGCTTCCGCCTCCCCAGGCGCAACCAGTTCCGCGCACGTGCACCGCGACGTGCGCCGGCTGATGTCCGCCTACGACGCGTTCTTCAGCGGGTGGCCGCAGCCGTCCGCGGAGCGCCTGGCGGACGACACGCGGGAGCCGCCGCTGATGCGCGAAATGGACGTGGGGCGCATTCCGGACGCGCGGATGGTGCGGCTCCTGCGCGGATGGGAGAAGAACTCGTGGGGGAAGGGCGCGGAGGAGGGCGGGGAAGGGGGCGCGGGGGAAGCGGCGGAGAGGGGGAAAGGGGGGGCGCGAGAGCGGGGGGAGGGGGGGAGGCGCGCGGTGGAGTATGGGGAGACGGAGGCTCTGGCGTACGCGGCTGCGCGCATGCCGTCCACCTATGCCGCCGTGTTCCGCGCTCTCACTGAGGTGAGGAGCCAGGACACGCTTGGGCTGCGCGTATCGGGGAGAGGGGGGCGGTTGATCGGGGGCTCTCTCACCTGCTGTGTGTGGCTGGCGCACCAACAACGCCACCCAACCCTCTGCGTCCTACACCGTGTTGGGTTGGGCGCACCAACATGGGGAGCTTACTCCACCGTGCTGAATTCCTTCCTTTCTTCGTTCACCCCTCATTCTATCCCTCCCGCCTCTGCCCCTCCCTCCTTCCGCCGCGCCCGCCCCTCCTGCCTATACCTCCACTGGCGGCAGGTGAAGCGGCGACTGCCCTCCCTCGCGCCCTCCTCCCTGCTGGACTTCGGATCCGGGCCTGGCACCGTGATGTGGTGAGATGCGGTGAGATGCGGTGGGGTGTGCCGTGATGTAACGAGATGCACTGTTGTGCTTCCAAGTCCTCCCACCTGGCACCTGCTCATGCTCACAGGTGTGCAGCCCAGATTAATCACTTCCGCTTGCTACCCCCACCTTAAACAGTGCTGTATCTGCTGTGCTTCTGTGCGGTGCTACATGTGCTGCCCCTCACTCCGCCTTCACTGCGTGCGTGCAGGGCGGCGAGCGAGGTGTGGGGCAGCACGGTGCAGAGGGCGGCAGCAGTGGAGCCCGCTGATGCCATGTGGGCCATGGGGGAGCACATCAGAGCAGGTAAGGGCAGGTGGGGGGGGTGGGTGAAATGGATTCAAGTGGTTGGGAAGGTGAGGTGGTGCAGAGGGCAGCAGCGGTGGAGCCCGCTGATGCCATGTGGGCCATGGGGGAGCACATCAGGGCAGGTAAGGGCAGGTGAGGGCAGGTGAAGGGGGTGGGGTGAAATGGATGCACGTGTGCAGACCGATGGGATTGTGAACAGGGACTGCGACCAGTGTAGCATGTCCCATCGTTGCCTTGCCGTGCCTTGCTCCCTGCTGTCTCCAACCACGCGCCTGCCTTGCCTGGCAGACCTTCCTCCACAACAGGGTGGCCTTCACCCCTGACCCTGCCCGCGCCACCCTTCTTCCATTCCCCTCCCCACCCCTCCCCTCCCTCCCCCTACCCTGCCCATCCCTCCTCTCCCCGTCTCCCCCCACCAGTGGCGGCAGCGGGTCCCAAGCCCCCACGTGCACTGCCTGAGGTGGTTCGATACACCACCCTGCAGCACCTCTCAAGGGAGGCACGCGGGCCCGACCGGGTGTTTGACGTTGTGGTGGCGGTGAGAGGGGGGGGAGGGGCAGGGGTGGGGGTGAGGGGCGGATTCAGATGAATTGTGGGGAGAGGTGGTGTGTGGTTCTATTCTATCCTGCCATGCCTGCGTGGCTGCAGCATCACTCCTTTCGAACTGCATGTCTCTCGCACCACCCCCCGCCCTCCCTCTCTAACCACACGACCCCCGCTCTCTCCCATGTGGCAGGCGTATGCAGTGGGCGAGGTGGAGTCGGTGGATGAGAGGCGCGCCATTGTGGACCGCCTTTGGAGCCATGCTCGCCATGTCATGGTGTGTCATGGTGTGGTGGCATGCGGTGGCATGAGGTGGCATGTTGTGCCATGGTGTGGCATGTGGTGGCATTTGATGGCATGTGATGGCATGTGATGGCATGTGATGGCATGTGATGGTATGTGATGGTATGTGATGGTATGGGATGGTATGTGATGTGATGGTGTGATGGCATGTGATGGCATGTGGTGATGTGGTACCATGGCATGAGATGCATGCTCCTGCCCGCCTCTGTGACCACATCGTCCTCCCTACTTTGTCTCATCTCTTCTCTTCATGACTTCTCCTGCCTTCACGTCTCCCACCTGTGCGTGTGTGAGAGCACAGGTTCTGGTGGAGACAGGCAACCCACGTGGTTATGAGGCCATAGCCAAGGCCAGGGCGCACATACTGCACACACAGAGAGCGGTGAGCACATGTACCATACCACGCCCTTTTCTTTCTGCCGGTGCAGCGTATGAGCGGGCGGTGCAGCGTAGGAGCGGGCGGTGCAGCGTATGAGCGTGCGGTGCAGCGTATGAGCGGGCGGTGCAGCGTATGAGCGTGCGGTGCAGCGTATGAGCGTGCGGTGCAGCGTATGAGCGGGCGGTGCAGCGTATGAGCGTGCGGTGCAGCGTATGAGCGGGCAGTGCAGCGTATGAGCGTGCGGTGCTGCGTATGAGCGGGCGGTGCAGCGTATGAGCGGGCGGTGCAGCGTAGGAGCGGGCGGTGCAGCGTATGAGCGTGCGGTGCAGCGTATGAGCGGGCGGTGCAGCGTATGAGCGTACGGTGCAGCGTATGAGCGTGCGGTGCAGCGTATGAGCGGGCGGTGCAGCGTATGAGCGTGCGGTGCAGCGTATGAGCGGGCGGTGCAGCGTATGAGCGGGCGGTGCAGCGTAAGAGCGGGCGGTGCAGCGTAAGAGCGGGCAGTGCAGCGTATGAGCGGGCGGTGCAGCGTATGAGCGTGCGGTGCAGGGTATGAGCGTGCGGTGCAGCGTATGAGCGTGCGGTGCAGCGTATGAGCGGGCGGTGCAGCGTAAGAGCGGGCGGTGCAGCGTATGAGCGGGCGGTGCAGCGTATGAGCGTGCGGTGCAGGGTATGAGCGCGCGGTGCAGCGTATGAGCGGGCGGTGCAGCGTATGAGCGTGCGGTGCAGCGTTTGAGCGGGCGGTGCAGCGTATGAGCGTGCGGTGCTGCGTATGAGCGGGCGGTGCAGCTTATGAGCGGGCGGTGCAGCGTATGAGCGGGCGGTGCTGCGTATGAGCGGGCGGTGCAGCGTATGAGCAGGCGGTGCAGCGTATGAGCAGGCGGTGCAGCGTATGAGCGGGCGGTGCAGCGTAGGAGCGGGCGGTGCAGCGTATGAGCGGGCGGTGCAGCGTATGAGCGGGCGGTGCAGCGTATGAGCGGGCGGTGCAGCGTATGAGCGTGCGGTGCAGCGTATGAGCGGGCGGTGCAGCGTATGAGCGGGCGGTGCAGCGTATGAGCGGGCGGTGCAGCGTATGAGCGTGCGGTGCAGGGTATGAGCGTGCGGTGCAGCGTATGAGCTGGCGGTGCAGCGTATGAGCGTGCGGTGCAGCGTATGAGCGGGCGGTGCAGCGTATGAGCGTGCGGTGCAGCGTATGAGCGGGCGGTGCAGCGTATGAGCGTGCGGTGCAGCGTATGAGCGTGCGGTGCAGCGTATGAGCGGGCGGTGCAGCGTATGAGCGGGCGGTGCAGCGTATGAGCGTGCGGTGCAGCGTATGAGCGGGCGGTGCAGCGTATGAGCGGGCGGTGCAGCGTATGAGCGGGCGGTGCAGCGTATGAGCGGGCGGTGCAGCGTATGAGCGTGCGGTGCAGGGTATGAGCGGGCGGTGCAGCGTATGAGCGGGCGGTGCAGGGTATGAGCGGGCGGTGCAGCGTATGAGCGGGCGGTGCAGCGTATGAGCGGGCGGTGCAGCGTATGAGCGGGCGGTGCAGCGTAAGAGCGGGCGGTGCAGCGTATGAGCGGGCGGTGCAGCGTATGAGCGTGCGGTGCAGGGTATGAGCGTGCGGTGCAGCGTATGAGCGGGCGGTGCAGCGTATGAGCGTGCGGTGCAGCGTATGAGCGGGCGGTGCAGCGTATGAGCGTGCGGTGCTGCGTATGAGCGGGCGGTGCAGCGTATGAGCGGGCGGTGCAGCGTATGAGCGGGCGGTGCAGCGTAGGAGCGGGCGGTGCAGCGTAGGAGCGGGCGGTGCAGCGTATGAGCGGGCGGTGCAGCGTATGAGCGGGCGGTGCAGCGTATGAGCGTGCGGTGCAGCGTATGAGCGGGCGGTGCAGCGTATGAGCGGGCGGTGCAGCGTATGAGCGTGCGGTGCAGCGTATGAGCGGGGAGTGCAGCGTATGAGCGGGCGGTGCAGCGTAAGAGCGGGCGGTGCAGCGTATGAGCGGGCGGTGCAGCGTATGAGCGTGCGGTGCAGGGTATGAGCGTGCGGTGCAGCGTATGAGCTGGCGGTGCAGCGTATGAGCGTGCGGTGCAGCGTATGAGCGGGCGGTGCAGCGTATGAGCGTGCGGTGCTGCGTATGAGCGGGCGGTGCAGCGTATGAGCGGGCGGTGCAGCGTATGAGCGGGCGGTGCTGCGTATGAGCGGGCGGTGCAGCGTATGAGCGGGCGGTGCAGCCTTAGAGCGGGCGGTGCAGCGTATGAGCGGGCGGTGCAGCATAGGAGCGGGCGGTGCAGCGTATGAGCGTGCGGTGCAGCGTATGAGCGGGCGGTGCAGCGTAGGAGCGGGCGGTGCAGCGTATGAGCGGGCGGTGCAGCGTATGAGCGGGCGGTGCAGCGTATGAGCGGGCGGTGCAGCGTATGAGCGTGCGGTGCAGCGTATGAGCGGGCGGTGCAGCGTATGAGCGGGCGGTGCAGCGTATGAGCGGGCGGTGCAGCGTATGAGCGTGCGGTGCAGGGTATGAGCGTGCGGTGCAGCGTATGAGCTGGCGGTGCAGCGTATGAGCGTGCGGTGCAGCGTATGAGCGGGCGGTGCAGCGTATGAGCGTGCGGTGCAGCGTATGAGCGGGCGGTGCAGCGTATGAGCGTGCGGTGCAGTGTATGAGCGTGCGGTGCAGCGTATGAGCGGGCGGTGCAGCGTACAGTGTGTGCGCTGTCCTGTGCTGTCCGAAGGGAGCGCATTTGGCCAACGGGAGGTGGTTGCGAATGGCTAAGCGGGCAGCAGCGTCGCGAGTCAGCCACTGTGAACGAGTCGCACTGTCAGCTGTGTCGGGAGGGGCTGGAGTGGCGCCAGACGGGCGGTGCAGCGTAAGAGCGGGCAGTGCAGCGTATGAGCGGGCGGTGCAGCGTATGAGCGTGCGGTGCAGGGTATGAGCGTGCGGTGCAGCGTATGAGCGTGCGGTGCAGCGTATGATCGGGCGGTGCAGCGTAAGAGCGGGCGGTGCAGCGTATGAGCGGGCGGTGCAGCGTATGAGCGTGCGGTGCAGGGTATGAGCGTGCGGTGCAGCGTATGAGCGGGCGGTGCAGCGTATGAGCGTGCGGTGCAGCGTTTGAGCGGGCGGTGCAGCGTATGAGCGTGCGGTGCTGCGTATGAGCGGGCGGTGCAGCTTATGAGCGGGCGGTGCAGCGTATGAGCGGGCGGTGCTGCGTATGAGCGGGCGGTGCAGCGTATGAGCGGGCGGTGCAGCGTATGAGCAGGCGGTGCAGCGTATGAGCGGGCGGTGCAGCGTAGGAGCGGGCGGTGCAGCGTATGAGCGGGCGGTGCAGCGTATGAGCGGGCGGTGCAGCGTATGAGCGGGCGGTGCAGCGTATGAGCGTGCGGTGCAGCGTATGAGCGGGCGGTGCAGCGTATGAGCGGGCGGTGCAGCGTATGAGCGGGCGGTGCAGCGTATGAGCGTGCGGTGCAGGGTATGAGCGTGCGGTGCAGCGTATGAGCTGGCGGTGCAGCGTATGAGCGTGCGGTGCAGCGTATGAGCGGGCGGTGCAGCGTATGAGCGTGCGGTGCAGCGTATGAGCGGGCGGTGCAGCGTATGAGCGTGCGGTGCAGCGTATGAGCGTGCGGTGCAGCGTATGAGCGGGCGGTGCAGCGTATGAGCGGGCGGTGCAGCGTATGAGCGTGCGGTGCAGCGTATGAGCGGGCGGTGCAGCGTATGAGCGGGCGGTGCAGCGTAAGAGCGGGCGGTGCAGCGTATGAGCGGGCGGTGCAGCGTATGAGCGTGCGGTGCAGGGTATGAGCGTGCGGTGCAGCGTATGAGCGGGCGGTGCAGGGTATGAGCGGGCGGTGCAGCGTATGAGCGGGCGGTGCTGCGTATGAGCGGGCGGTGCAGCGTATGAGCGGGCGGTGCAGCGTATGAGCGGGCGGTGCAGCGTAAGAGCGGGCGGTGCAGCGTATGAGCGGGCGGTGCAGCGTATGAGCGTGCGGTGCAGGGTATGAGCGTGCGGTGCAGCGTATGAGCGGGCGGTGCAGCGTATGAGCGTGCGGTGCAGCGTATGAGCGGGCGGTGCAGCGTATGAGCGTGCGGTGCTGCGTATGAGCGGGCGGTGCAGCGTATGAGCGGGCGGTGCAGCGTATGAGCGGGCGGTGCAGCGTAGGAGCGGGCGGTGCAACGTATGAGCGGGCGGTGCAGCGTATGAGCGGGCGGTGCAGCGTATGAGCGTGCGGTGCAGCGTATGAGCGGGCGGTGCAGCGTATGAGCGGGCGGTGCAGCGTATGAGCGTGCGGTGCAGCGTATGAGCGGGCGGTGCAGCGTATGAGCGGGCGGTGCAGCGTAAGAGCGGGCGGTGCAGCGTATGAGCGGGCGGTGCAGCGTATGAGCGTGCGGTGCAGGGTATGAGCGTGCGGTGCAGCGTATGAGCTGGCGGTGCAGCGTATGAGCGTGCGGTGCAGCGTATGAGCGGGCGGTGCAGCGTATGAGCGTGCGGTGCTGCGTATGAGCGGGCGGTGCAGCGTATGAGCGGGCGGTGCAGCGTATGAGCGGGCGGTGCTGCGTATGAGCGGGCGGTGCAGCGTATGAGCGGGCGGTGCAGCGTATGAGCGTGCGGTGCAGCGTATGAGCGGGCGGTGCAGCGTATGAGCAGGCGGTGCAGCGAATAAGCGGGCGGTGCAGCGTATGAGCGTGCGGTGCAGGGTATGAGCGTGCGGTGCAGCGTATGAGCTGGCGGTGCAGCGTATGAGCGTGCGGTGCAGCGTATGAGCGGGCGGTGCAGCGTATGAGCGTGCGGTGCAGCGTATGAGCGGGCGGTGCAGCGTATGAGCGTGCGGTGCAGCGTATGAGCGTGCGGTGCAGCGTATGAGCGGGCGGTGCAGCGTATGAGCGGGCGGTGCAGCGTATGAGCGTGCGGTGCAGCGTATGAGCGGGCGGTGCAGCGTATGAGCGGGCGGTGCAGCGTAAGAGCGGGCGGTGCAGCGTATGAGCGGGCGGTGCAGCTTATGAGCGGGCGGTGCAGCGTATGAGCGGGCGGTGCAGCGTATGAGCGGGCGGTGCAGCGTATGAGCGTGCGGTGCAGCGTTTGAGCGGGCGGTGCAGCGTATGAGCGTGCGGTGCAGCGTTTGAGCGGGCGGTGC